GTCTTTGTGAACTAAATATCTAAAGCATAAAACTTGTTGATAATTTTACATTCGAATATCTTCTGAACTTATACGTATATTATGAACTTATACTATCAAATTAAAAAGCAAATCTAACAATATCTTTTACACGAAATAAGAATAACTAAATGTGAAGATCGCATTTATACATAGTTTTTAACAAAGTCACTTCCTGTTGTCTGTACTCTAAGATTTTTCAACTAAGCAATGTATTTTAATATTACATAAGACCACGCGAGCGAAGCCGCTGGCGGAATGTTAGTTTGTTTATACATGTATGATTAACAAAAAATCATAAATTCTTATAACAATTAGTTACTTTAAAAAAGTTCTAAAATTGGGATGTTGTAACAACATGCATTAAACACGTGTAGATATAATTAAAACCTAATCAAACAACATTGTTTGCAACTGTCACGCTCTTTAAAGGTTGTTTGAAAATACATTAATGAAATTATCTTCATGATAATTATTATAGTCACAACTTAAATCTCAGTTATTATACAATAACGACGATGACAGGGTTAAAAAAAAAGAAATTCTATTCAGTCCGTTAGTCAGATACTAAAAACTTAACAAGAAATGACTTAGATAATAGGCCTTAAAGTTGAAGAGTGGGGGCTCGTTACGTCACAGTTTTGTAAAAGAGTCGTCACGCTCTTGTAAATTTTCTACAAAACTGTGCATGACGTCTCATGCGACATTTCAACATTTCAAAAATCGTGTTTAATATTCTTCAACAATCTACCTGACGTACAAACAAACAAAAATTAGTCGTCATTCCTGTTATGCCCGACAGTAATGAATGAATGAATCAGGAAAAAATTCTAAGCTTTTCAATGTTTCAAAATCGGATGTATTATAAGTAAGAGCATTAAAAGCCCTAGTTTCTAGAACCACTTGCCTACTTTTTATGTTTAATAATCCAAAAAGGGAAGGCTATTAACAAAAACTACGAACTTTAGCCGAACAATGGCAGGTAAAAAGCCGAAGCACAGCCATTTGTTTCTTATTTATTCTATGTCTACATTTATATTGGCTGCCCTTATCAAAAACTGCGCAGGATATTACCCTACTTTTACTATTAGACAATTGATAATTTTAAAACAGTACATTGTTCTGTGCATCGTCCTACATTCCTCGACGCATATGCACTAAATCGGGATACGATGACGTCTAATTAATCGTATAAATCATTATCAAATTAATAAACTACCATAAATACTAACAATGAGACCGCTGGATACAGTTATTATCTATTATAAACTATAACACATTGACTCTGTAAATAATGTAAGTGTGGTTAAAGGCCAAAGGTTTGCGCGTGCCGAAAAGCTTATTCTACAACTGCTGTTACTGTTAGTTCAGTCTCGGCTTTCGTGCACGACAGTCGTTTAGTGTGTGAATGAGAAACGATAAATTCAGATCTTTCGTTCACGCGGGAAAAAACCGCAAAGCTATAAGTCATGAATTGGTTCAAAAAGTTGTTACAAGGAAAATTAGAGAAGCAGATTGAACCGAATACGAACAAGAGAGAATTGTGGCTGGATAAACTCGGCTTTTTGAGCCCTTACGAGACAGAAGATCTGCTGGAAGTTGACGAGTCTTGGGAGGCGAAGGAATCGGATCCAGAAGAAGTTTACGTTCTGACAACAGCAAGGAATTTTCGGATGGACACTTTGGACGATTTCGTGTTTGAAAGCGATTGGGTTATTTTAACTCGCGAGGAGTTTTTCGAGCCCAAGTTTCAATACCGTTTGACAAAATCTGATGCGATAAGTAATTTATGCAAGAAGATGGCGGAGAATAAAGTTAAGACTAAAGTGGCGGACGTTGTAGCGAAACCTCCAAGTTGTCATTGTAATGAGCTTAATACAGACGAAAGTGTAGTTGTGTGCAACCGTGATAATGTTTTTCTACGATTCCTTAAGGCAATAGCAAACTTGTGGCGACGATTTTGCACAAAATTCCGTAAAAAGGATAGATCGAGACAGGAATTGGATGGTGAAGAAAACGAAGTGCCATCAAATTACACATATCGATACTTATGTAGGTAATTTTGGTTTTGTTATTAATATTTTTGGGTATTAATTGGTATATAAGATTATGACTATATATAAAATTACTATTTATATCTCTCATGATTGATTCGCTGGGTCAGGTCTGTTGATATTTTATATAGGTATGTACTTAAAAATAGTGCAGTACTCGGGAAGGATATTGACATAATGTTAGTTTTTTTTTTTCAAAATATCTATACTATAGAAAATACAGTGGAAGAGGTACTTACTAATCATTTAAGAAGTGATTCCAAAAGGATTTGAAACCTTTGCTTTGCGTGCTATCAATCAATAAATTTTTCATTCTAAACATTTAATGGATGCTCTGATTAATTCATACAGTTCAATATTACTTTAGAACTCCTATGACTGAAGAATGTTTTTAAAATGCCACGCAATACAACAAAAAGGCCACAGAAGTTTGAACTACCACAATTATTGGTACATAAAAAGTGAACAACTTTAATTTGGCACCAATCAAAATTGGTCATTTTTAAAAACTTTCATGACGTAATTATTGAAACACAATAACACTATTTAACAAACCCACTCTATCTCTGTAAAAAAAACTTTTATGATAACAGCCGACATTATTTTTTAATACATCAATGCAGCAAATCTGTATCGCAACATCCTCTCGATGAATTATTGTAAAAACATCATTTACAGTTATGTTCTACCGAAAATTAGTAAGCATCGCCAGTTTATATTAACTATTACAATCTAGACCTATGATAGTATATAATCTAATGAGACAGATTATAAACTGACGATATTTATATAACGGTAACATATATCTTTATTATAACATATTTAAGTGTACATAAAGATGCATAGAGGACACTGAGCATGGTTGAAACAAAGCTTATAATTTGTAAAATTAGCACTATGGCAAGAGGTCTAAAGTAAGAGGAATGCAGAAGGCATATATTAGACTTCTTGTCTTCTCGGCTCTTTTATATTAAGACTTCTTTCCATATCTTTTCATCAGCACTGTTACGTCCCCACTACAAGAGGATAGGTCATAACTCTCCACGCTAGATGGATTAGAGGATATTAACGACTATAAATGCTGCCAGGACCAACGGCTTAACGTACCTTCCGAAGCACGGAGTAGCTCGAGATATTTTTTTTGTTACCCATCCCGTGACAGACTTGCGGAAGCATAACAATAACGTTCGTGTGCTGCGGCGCTTATCCACTGCGCCACCGAACTACATACGAGTACTTATCATAGCACTAATATTTTACAAATTATAAGCGTTGTCTCATCCGCCTCCCCTACTCTATTCTAAAATTAATAAATAGTATATAAATATCCCTTCAATCCGCATTGGGCCAGCGTGGAGGGTCATGGCCCATCCTCCTTAACCATCCGTAAGGAAGGCCTGAGCCCCTGCAGTGGGGACGTAAGAGGGCTGGTGTTGATATAAATATCATCAAAAATTATATTATTCCTTAACTGTTACACGATATATGTACAGTAAAGTAGACAACACGTCAGGGTTCTAAAAGATGACTAAGACTTTATTTATCTGTAGTTAAGATTAAAATTCAATTATCATCCGTTTCTGAATTGAAAAAATACAAAATCTCAATTGATTATTCTCAATAACTTTTTTTAGACGTTTCACATGTCAAAAAGTCCCAGTTTTATCAAACTGCTAACAAGTAATCATTAAAAAATATAAAATCAAAAAGGAAAAACTTAAGTGACATTTGAAATGGCTTAAGTACGGTTTGAAACGTGCTTAAGTTTAGATTCTCAATTCAGAAACCGGGTGTTAGTATAGTGATCAGCCCTGCGATTCTGTAAAACTCCAAACCCGAATTCGAATTCTCTCAGGTGTCCGAATTGGCTTCAAAAAGAGGCATACGCTCAACCTTGAATTGGTAATAACGTTTCGTAGCATAAGTGAAGTGAGTTTCGAAATGATATAGGAATAGAATATCTGAGACACGTGTATTCAATCAATTTTGTTTTGTATTTTTATACAAAAAAAATGGAATCAATAGAATTTTTACACTAAATTAAGTGAATTCGGACACATGAGTGAATTCGAATTCGGGTCTGGATTTTTACAGAATCTCAGGGCTGATCCTACGTAAACCTTTATCGATAAATTCAATTGTCGCAATACAACTGTCTAGTACACCGTTAAAGTCAATTTTATCTCTTAAACGTTCTAGACGTATAATTACTAAATACAATTCATTATCTAAACTATTAATAAACATATTTTAATACAAGTCATGAGATGCAAATACAATAAGTAAATGATCCTTTAACCTTTTGACAAATAATATTATGTAAAACTACTTACATTATCTTTTTTTTTGTTTAGTGTCATTGAGGATGAAGAGTGCATTGATATACAACTATAAAAGTAACTATAATTAATCTTAATTAGGGTCAATGAACTTATTCCAACGCAGTCGTTGATAAATTACGTAAGATGATTTAAGGGATCTGGGGAACTTGAATGAGTCTTATGTTTTCTTTTTTTTTATATCATATCAAAAAGGTTATTAAAAATCTCAAGAAAAGCTAACATCTTTTTTTTTCATTTATTATTCTTTTATATTCTTATGTACATTAACTACTTTATACATTATAAAAAGCCGCCTACTATTGCTTTATACATATACTGGTTAATTGGTAGAGATTCTTTTAAGAAGGATAAGAACTGACAAAAATTGTATTACGTAATAAATTAAAGATAATGGTTGTACTCCTATGCAATCTTTTTCTTGATTATTATAACCTAAAATAATGCATAAACTTACGATAGTTACATATTTAACGATTTGAAAACACAAATATTTTAATTTCTAGTTAAGTAATTGGGTAAAGTCACTGTCACCTAAACTTTATTTTTGTCCAACGGCATACGTATCTAATATACATTTTCTTTTTAGCTGCAGGTCGAGTGAGAGCTTTAAGAGGCGGAAGGGGTGCTCGGGGGGCGGGTGCAGCGCTACGAGCATACGCGCTGCATCTCGCACAAGACAAAAGCACAACTTTCGCACAAAACATAGACAATTTCATCGCATGCACGCTTGACTCCAAAGAAACATGCCCACAGGTAAGCACATTGAAACGGTGTTTTAGTAGAATAGTAAATAGTTTTATCCAGTGGACATGTTTACTTATTTTCAAGTGATCTTAAACAAAAAGTGGAAACAATACATAAGTTTATGGCTGGCGATATGTATTGTTTTCTGAAGATTCTCAACTGCTCACATAATATAATCCGTTTTTTTCCTGCCCTAGGATCATACTAAAACTATTACTAAGATTGACCGCAAGCGATGGTCACCAAATTCCTCGATTATACATAAATTGTTGATAATGAATTTCTGGTGATTTGTTATTTTTTCCTATTCTGTCTCTCAAACCTATAAAATAATCATTTTATTTTTAGATAATGATGAGGAACATGAGACAGTTCATGTCGGGCATGAAAAACTACCTAGTCAAACATGGCGAAAGGGAATTTGAGAAGGAAGTTGAAAAGGAAAGACTGAAGGTAAGTTTGAAACTTTACAGGAACAAGTCTTACGGTTAGTTCGTTTCTAACGTAATATTTGTCCTATTTCTTCGGTTTAGAACTGACGAATATACTATATCTATTATATTTGATCAATTTTGAATTCACAATGCTATACTGAAATAAATTCTTAATAAAATATGCTGAGATGGAACCATCTTAGAGCGTCAGGGACAAAGTGGATTTTTTAAGCATTTTGTATTAAAAATATATTAACTTCCGTGAGATACTTGCCGGATCCTACACTAGATTTGGAAAAAAACTTTCGCCTAAAAACTTTTTACTTAATCTATACGGAAACAACTTAAGACTTTAAAACATGAATTTATCACTATTGGTATTTGTTCATATTGTAAGCTGAATTCATCTTGATTGAGCCTCATAAATGAATGAAGTTTGTTTTATGCAAGTCAAACGTATCGGTGTTATTAAATAAATAACCACGGTTAACGGCTGGATCTCGTAAAAGTTATTTTTTTTACTTAAAATAGATAGCTACACAAAATATTTTCCTCTTACAGCTAAAACCTACGGAATTCCTAAACATCGACGCTATACTTGAGGGTGTGATGCACCGACTGGTAGTTAGACCGTTACGGAGTCGATTGTATACTCTTCTTGCTGGCTGGCACGCCGATGACGTCAGAAGGCTGCACGCGGCCATAGAGCGAGCGCAACATGCCACACCATTACAGCTAGGAGTTAAGGTTTGTAAATATATGACTTTGTCTCTTTTCATACTGTTTTCTTTGGGCGTAAAATGACACCCTATTAACTTCAAACTCATTTTCAACTTGATAAATAAGCTAAAAACATAGTAGTGCGTAGATCTTTTAGTTACTAATACCACTTATATTCATCATTAAGATAAAGAAAACTTTATAACAAATATGAAGAATTGATAAATGAAGATTTATTTATTTTTATTAACCTGTTTATCTTTTGTCATTATTAGGAATCTACAAAAGTACCCTCGGCGGCAGTCCTTGCAGTGATCTCAAAACATTTCCTAAAGATGCAAGAGGCAGACTCTCCGTTGGACAAACTCGAAAACCTTTTAGCAGCCATATCTGTTATGTTCAATTCTGTAAGTAATCAATTTTAAATCCTTACTTTAACAGTCTTTACGCTGAGATTTTTTTTAATTACACGACGATTTTATTAATGCTGTTTTCATCAGTATAACGGATGATTCAAGAGGTAGGTTTATAATGATAATACAGGATCACTCGAGCGAAGACGCTGGTGGAAAACTATGCATTATAAAACATTATTCTTTATAACTGAAAATAAGTGGAAAGAACCACCTACATACCAAGGAGTCCATGCGTATAGCAAATTCAGTAATACGCGAAAGCAGGAGTTTATGATTAACGATAAATGACGATACATATCGTTTTCTTTCGACACTCTCATAATACATATATGTGTCATTGTTAATTTTTTTGTCTGAAGAAACAAACAAACTAATCTTACATAGTAAAATACTTTTAAAAACTAATTAATACTTTCAACTATAAAATTAATATGGACAAGCTATGAAAGAAGTAAAAATATCAGAACAGAGTTATGAAATGATTTTTGAATCTCATCAGACTACATTTACATGCTTTTGTTTGAATCATCAATTCATGTTATGATAACATAAACATGAGAGTAGATATTTGATAACATTATGATTCATTATAACTATTTTAGTTTATTACAAATTTAATGAATAATGAAAATGTTTAAATTCAAATTGTGGTAAAGCAGACTTTAGCCTCGTGCCTCAGTTTTGTGAATCATCTTATATTTGATACAGTTATAAATAATGGTACCGACATAATTACATTAAAGTTGATAGAACTTTGAATGTCAATATATTATATGCATAGGATATAGATTTGAGCCTCATTACAGGATATTGATATTCATTACTTGTTTTACCATTTCTTGTCTTTTAAAGACTGCAAAAAGAATGTAATGCAGTTGGCGTTGTAATACCCACAAACAGACTTATGTAATCTTTTTTATTCGATTGCAGATTCGCGGTGAACGCGCTTTAGGAGCTGATGACCTTCTACCCGTACTGGCGTGGACATTAGCGAGGTGCCGACTAGTCTGCGGTGAACTGGAGGCGGAACTGATGTCGGGTCTGCTACCCGCCGCGCTGCTGGCGGGCGAGGGAGGATACTATCTCACCGCGCTGTTCTCTGCGGTCGCTGTACTCAAGAGGCTAGCTCCGGAACCGGGTCCGGATAGCTCAACTCATGTAAGTTACCTTACTGATTTTGCTTTGTTTCAGGTGGAGGTGATGGTCAAGTGTCAAGAAATGATGCTAATGTGATTAGATTTAAAATGGCCATATTATCTATACTAATATTATAAAGCTGAAGAGTTTGTTTGTTTGAACGCGCTAATCTCAGGAACTACTGGTTCAAATTGAAAAATTATTTTTGTTTTGAATAGACCATTTATCGAAGAAGGCTTTAGGCTATATAACATCACGCTATAAAATGTGGAAAAAATCGGGGAAAACTATTCATCCTTGAGGGCTTCCGTTGCGTGCGCTGCGAAAACGGTTCAAGATACCAAAAATATATGTATGAAAGAATTATTCTTCTTGAAATGATCTAAAAAAAATGTCCTCGACAAAATATGTCTATCTTTTACGATTAACTCACTAGAACCGTTTTATGGTAATCAAATTTGGTCGTAATTAATGCATTATTTGTTAAGAGTTGTATCAACGTAATAATATTAATGTATAATACAAGACCATTCGGGCGAAGCGGCTGACGAATAGCTAGTTTATTAATAATAATTTTTGTTACACATACTACCATAAGTATCTATCTAATACTGATATTATAAAAAGGAAAGATTTGGTTGTTTGTTTGTATGTTTCTTGTTTGCCTCGAATAGGCCCCGAAACTACTGGACCGATTTTAAAAATTATTTCACCTACAGAAAGCTACAATATATGCAGTGAACATAGGCTATATTTTATCCCGAAAAACAGGAAAATAAGGAATTAAAACGTTGCTACAGCAACCATTGCTTACTATTCAATTTGTCATTGTTATTATATCAGTGTTATTATGATATGTATTGTTATTCAAATAAACAGTACCCTAGGGATCACGCGGGCGAAAAACAAATGATATAAGTTTATTGTGATATGGAAAGGGAAAATGATGTTGAAACTTAACTTGTATGTTCAGTGGCGGCGCGGGTCGTCGGAGTGCGGGTCGGGCGGCGGCGGGTCCGGCGGCGCGGGCGGCGGCGCGGCGGTGGTGCGCGTGGCGCTGCCGGACGAGTGCCGCGGCTCCATCCGGCGCGTGGCGCTGCCGTGCCGGCCCGGCGCGCGCGCCCGCGACCTGTGCCGGGCGCTCGCGCACGCCGCCGCCATCACCAATCCGCAGGACTACGCGCTCTTTGCTCTACACGACGGACACGGTAATCGGCTACTATCGTCTGCCCTATTACGTCCCCACAGGGGCCTTCGTTATGGAGATTAAGGAGGAGGAGTAGTGACCCTCCACGCTGGCTGGTATTGACGTTCTGCAAATGCAGCCGGGACCGACGGCTTTACGTGCCTTCCAAATCCGACCCTTGCGAAAGAATGCCGCGGCGCTTATCCACTACGCTACCGAGCTAATCGACTTACTAATAATCCTGCAATGTCTCCACTGCAGAGGCTCAGGCCTTCCGTTTGGATGGAATCGGAAAGACAAAATAAGCTATAACACACTACGCGAGTTCAGTGCGATTTAGTGGGTATTAAAGTCCTGCAGATAGCATAGAGGAGCTTGAACTAATAAATATTTAGTTACTCACCCTATGATCGGCTCTTACGAAACTAGTTCAACAACCATATTGCAAACCGAGCACACTAATCAATACGTCATCGAGCTTCTCATCCCTTCCTATTTCCTTCTAAATACTACAAATGCGTAAGTCTGTGAGAAAGGCCCTTTGGAATTCTTGCTTGATTCCCTAGGGGCTTGTCAAAAATCAAAAATATGAAGGTTAAATTATACTTACATACATCTTTTCTTTTACAGAAACAATGTTGAACGAGAACGATTGTCCCCAAGAAGTGATGTCAGAGAAGAGTGGACAGAATTTCATCCTCGCGTACAAGAGAATAGATGCTAAGATTGCGTGGCCTCAACAAGCATTACTGTCTTATCCTTAAGATAGATACACACAAATGTTTCATCTAACGCAATAAGTAAAGGCAGCAATCTCTTAACGTTTTTTATACTCTTTGAATCGGTCTTGAATATTGGACAAATTCGTAAATTGCAAAATTATATCATTTTATAAATGCTATTTTTATGACTTTCTCGTAAATTAAAAGTTAACAAAAGATCGACACAATATTTTATTCAGAAATAAAAAACCTTTTCACTCGATAACCAAATATGTTACAGGTACAAATTCAGGCAAATTACAAATATGAAACTGTATACATTTTTAAAATTTCACCGTCAAAGGAAAAGGTTGTTTTTATACTAAATTAGAAATTAAGTAACAAAACGACGTACATTGATATAGGAAAGTCTATATTTTTATCATCCTAACATAATAAAGTGATATTACGATATTACGTACACGATCTATTGTGCTATCCCTTAATACCTTGAAGCAAGCTGTAATTGCATTTTGGCACAAATATATTTTTGCCTTGAAGTTACTTATCTAAACTTAAAATGACGTATAAACCCTTTTGGACAAAATTATTTTAAAGTCGAGCTATGCAAGCATCTAAAAAATTATTTGTATCACATTGACATGTCGTTATTATTTAAACTAAGTACTGGCTTACTAAATGAAACCACATTATAACATTTTCTCATCAATAATGCAAATTACCTTTCAAATACAACGATATTAATTGCTCTCATATAAAAACCGCAAATATGTGATTCGAGTTAGTCTAATATTACTTAACATATTTCTGTGCTTCTTGTATCGCACAATTCATCATGATTCTATCTCTATCTATCTTATTGACTGATAAGCAAGGAGCGAAAGGGAAAGTATTATCACTTATTATATTCCGGACTCTTGAGTGACTTGAAATGAACGTTTACGCCAAAATGACGATTACGGCCTTTATGCACCAAGGTTTAGCTTACTGTTAAGTACATTGCTTCTAAGCAGTATTTTCGAAGCATCGCTAAGCAACCTCATGCTTAAATGTAGCTTTTTTACTCAATAACTAGTTAATAAGTAACCTACCTGACTTTATAATCTGACTGAATGTAAATGTTGAGTGACGCGTGTCCGAATTTTGTACATTTTGTATGTGGTACAAACGCCCTTTCATTTCTGTGAAATTACGAAATCACGACATATTTTGGTAGAAAATAATTTTGTCCTACACAAATTCTTTTTGTTTAGCTTGGGTTAACAAAAATCTTCTACCTTTAAAAGGTGGTTTTTACGAGTGTACCTATCGAAGTGTGTTCCTAAATTTCTTTTAATCTGAATTAGATCAACCAAATCGTTGTTTTCATTTTATATTTTTTTAAGGTTTGCTTTTTTTCTTGTAAGAATGTTAATAAAAGTGTTTGTAATTTGAACGTTGTAATGTATCGGTATTTTTAACTTTTTTTAAAAACTAACTTTTTATGAACTGTGATGTAATGTATTAGTAATTTAAGAGTTTTACATTGTATTAATTTTGTATATTCGTAGAGGCGACGCGTAATAGGTATAATTTATTCATAACTTTAAGCGTAACTATATTTAACACAAATGGTAAATGAGTTCTGGCGATATACTTAAATTATTTCTCTTTAAAAAGTTTATATTTAAATAATAAATTTGTTTATTTTTTGTTATTTCCTCATATAAATCAGTGGAATATATTTATTTCAGTGTAACGTTTGTATATTTTTTTATAACGTATTTAATAATTTAATATAATTATGTTTACAAGATAATTAAGTTTAAAAATTGTTACATTTGTCTCGATTTCATAAGTGCACTGCCAAAAAGTATTTATTAAAAAATGTCGCTATAACTTATTCACCATAATTTTCATATTCAGAAATATAATAAGTTTTGCCTTTATGAATGCCACGGAAAGTTATATACTAGTTTATCATCTGTCTTCCAGCATGTTGTATTGCTTGGATCTAGTGGTGGCAAAGACAAACTTTATAACAAATGGAACTGCGTTGCATCTTTATTTTACTGACACGTTTAAAATATCAGCAATAAGATTAATAGTAAATTTACTAGGTTATTACCTATTACCCAATTTCATGTTGTTTTTTTTACTGTAGATATAAAATAAATCACACATCTCTCTTAATAAGATCTTATATTGCAACTCAGTTCTCGTATGTGTGAAAACGATCGGAATATGCGAGGCGTTACCGCCATTTTGTATTTATTGCAGTCTGTATTTTATAGTAAGTTATAATAACACGTATATTGTGTTTTAATAACATTTTCAGTCATTTGTGAGAAAGTAAAGAATTTTTACCAAACGATATTGTGTTATCATTTGTATTACCAATTTTAAAATATATGTTTCTCAGATTCCAAGATGAGTAACTAAAACCATTCAGTCCTATCAAATAACTGAATATCTGAGACAACGAAGCTACCATAACACCCAGACAAGAGACTAGAAAAGTTAGGTTTCTACATTAATCTGATCGAACCCGGGACCTCAGAGATGACGACACCTTGAAACCGGCTTGGAACCACTCGGCTGTGGGGGTCGCAAAGAATTTTAAATTCTAGTTTATGCTTACTGTGTAGTACCCGGGTGCACCGACGATATGGTTGGCGAGCCCTGGGATCAGGTTCATTTGCCCTACGTTAGCAAAAAAGAGTGGCCCGACTATCTTATAAACGTTACCTAGAGCGACTGTATGTGAACAACGCAGGACCTTTCGACAGGTAGCTACGTACGGCTATTGATGGTGCCCATGTGTTACAAAGTTGTTAACAAACAGTTGTGAGAGATGAAGCTGCTATTGAAAATCTTTTACTAGAAAGATTTGATAGTATGAGCAATTTTTATATCAGATATCCAATCTGTGTATTCTATTTATCTTAACAAGCAATAGTATATAAAGAATGGTGATACGAATTCGCAAACAAATCAGAGACATTCTTCTTAATGAAAGACTCGTTAATGATAGCAACGTAAGATTGTCCTCTGAACTGTGACAGTGCTTTTGGTGATGAACGGTGTGGTTATAACGGGTTCTTCTTCGTATGTTCTTCCAATGGACTTATCCACTCGGTGAAAACTCGTTTGGAGACATGGCTACTAAAAATCCTCCTCCTAATTATATTAAACAACATCACATACATTGCTCATATTCCAAGATGAGTAGCTAAAGCCCCCGTATTATGGAGTATCTGTGACAACAAAGGTACCACAACGTCCAGACCCGGAACAATATAGAAAAGATCATTTTCTACGTTCTGGGAATCGGACCTGGGATCTCGGAGATGGCGACGGGAATGGGACCTTGCCGTAAATAATCTTATATTCATTATTGAACAAGCAATTACCATGACAACTAATATACTGAAAATCCTTCGTTGCTTAAAAGCAAGCTCATTAAAAAATGGATAATAAAGAAGAAATGCAAGCAGATTATCCTGAAAAGTATCCCCCTTTTATATTAGACCCAGTTCATGTAGAATATCCTGTGAGAAAATTTCCTGGAACTGGAGATTCTAGTGAAACCATAGCACATAAATGGAAGAGTCAACCAGAAGTTCTGACGAGTGGAGTAAGATTTAAATCTTTCTCAAGATTATGGCATACTTAAGAAATTTATAAATTATATAAAGCTACGAGTATATAGCACCCACATATGATGTAGCTTTTGTAGAAATATTTTTATGATCTGATCAATGTTTTCGTAAATTAGCCTCCACAAACAAACATACAAAGATACAAAAATAGAAACTACCTCTTTATAATATTAGTGTAGATAATTTATTCCAACAATATTTTAAACAATCATGACCAACTAATCAAATTTGATAAAGTAATTTCTTGTCAGCACACGCATAAAAATCTACAATACAGCAGATGTTATAATATAACATATAACGATTTTTGTATAAAGAGTTAAATATTCATATGTGGTAAATACTCACAGAGAAAATAGATTCAATTATAAAAATCGATGTTTGGTAAATTTTGTTATATAAAAGTCTTTTATAGATGATGTTTCTCTTTGGTTTAAGAATGAGATACTAAGTAAAATATATATTATATAAATCACAGAACTTACTAATTCTTAATTTTTAAATTTTCCATAAAATTCATAACAAAGAATCAACTTTTTCTATTTAATAAAGTTTCTATTTGACAATTCGCAGAAGACACCTATAGAAGAAATTAAGAATTACTTATACGACTACAATATAACCAAAGAGTTAAATAAATCTCAAACAATCAAAGACTTTGATTACAAACATGCAGAAAAGATGAGATTCAACAAACACACTTCTTGTTTAGAAAATCATTATATTTATCCGTTGAGTAGAAGGGTAAGCATAAACATCAATTACCGTTCGGAAGATAACTTTATTGTTAAAGATACAAATGGGAACGTGGATGGTAACATAATATAACAGTGTAACGTTACCTTTTTCAGTCTATGTTCAAATTTCAGTTTGAACTTTCAGCAAGTCAAAGTGTCACAAATTTTGTTGGACATGTCACAGCCAAATGGTATAATCAGTCAACCAACTGGGTGGCTAGCCCTTAAACTAAATTGAATGGCGCCATTCAATTAAAGGGCTAGCCGCCAAATTAGCTGGCTGTTTATACCAATTGGCTGAGACAAACACACTAGATAAATTTAGGTTCAGTCCTATCAAACTGCAATTAAAAATATATATCTTTACACCGTATCCCTGGCGGGGTAGTCAAAGAGGACCGAATGCCACAATGTACGGTCCTTACATAAATCTTTCGCCTTATCCACTTTCATTACTCTTTTCATACATACTCGCCGATTTTTATAGCTTCTTACATCACCTTCTAAAACCAGGCGATTGATTTGATCGTGAAAGGTGTGTCTTGGCCTTCCTCGGCTTCTGCATCATTCCACTTTCACGTAAGACTACTCTACCACTACCACTAATATAACACAAGTAAATTGATTATAATATTGTAAGTATACAGAAGTACAATTATTTTTCATATTACAAAATTCTCCGTTATACGTATAGATTTCAGAGAGACAACCACAATGTTCAGCGTTTACCAATTCGACAATGAAGGAGTCATATTCATCACCAACAATCCCACCGAGACTTGTGACAGATAAGGATCAATTTAAACATCCAGCCAGTCTGCCTCTCGATCCAGTGAGTCAAAACTTGATTATACCTTCTAATTTATCACGCTAGTTCAATGTCAATATTAAATTAATACTAATTATTCTATCTTACCATATTTTCGTACTAACATCAATTAAATACTGGTAGTCAGACAGACGCAAGCGCCATAAAGCATGACTTAGAGATACTAATTTTTTGGCAACATCATTCAATAAAGTAGCATCAATTTTCCCGTGAAAGACGTATCTTGGCCTTAGCCAACTACTAGTACTACTTTTACATTGGGATTGTTAGGCTGTACTAGTTTCATGATTTTATTTAATAGTAATTACACTCATTATCAATCGGTGATATGGTTTCCAAAATATCGTACCTCTAATTAATCACTTTTATATCTTTAGTCTGAGATAGAACCAAAGTGGCGTAAAGATTTTGAACCATTAGATACGACACACGAAGGTTTCGAGAAATACCTGGACCCATATCTGACGACGAGCAGACTCCACCACAGGCCCTTTACGGCGGATCAATTAACTAAATCATCTGCTTCTAAGGACATTATAACTTATTATACTTTTGCTGATGTCGCTTGGGTAAGACCATCAACGTTCTTCTAGCTTTTCAGAACATACTTATAATTATATTTGAAACAACGGAATGTATAATGCTATATTCTTCTGCTGTAGAAAGGTTGATTAATATACTTGCTTAAATTTTAATTAGAGGTGGAAGGACTATAAACTTATGATAAGTCGTAAGCATACAGAACGCACTGTTTTAAAGAAAAACCAGATTAATCTAAATATTCACAAATTTATAAGAAAACTTAAAATGTACTTAATGAAAATTGCTTAAAAAATCCAATTGGTCGCTGGCACCCTAAGATGACATTCGAAACTCATGACCTTTCGCAATCTGGGTGACGGCTGATTGCGGAAAGATATATTAAACATTTTTCATTAAGAATATTTTTCAGAATAGCATTGTTAATGCGAAATTGATCAAATATAAAAAAATCAAATATTCAGTCTCCATAGCATTATTTCTTAAACAACATATAAAAGTCTTAAAATTTTACTAATCAAATGTGTATGATTGAAGACTCGTGCCCCGTTGCAAAAGCCAGAACATTGCAATCTGCCAGTCACCAGACCAAAGTCCATATACGACAGGGAGAAATTCAAAGAAGACTTTAGAGAGATACGGACTCATAATAAACAAAGATGGGTGCCAAGGTAATAAAACCTGTACTACTCATCTTAAAACTAGTTCTCGTATCCTATGCGATTGTACATGTTATAATATAGCGCCATTTTGTATTCATTAGTTTTTGCGATATTCGACTCATGGTGCATACTTAGGAGGACGAAATATGTCTGTAAAATTATAACTTCCTGGAAATTTGTGAATTCGGTTTAAGTATTTATACCTCACGTATTATTAGTAATATTTATATACTATATTGAGTAAATGAAAACTTATTCATGGGTGATTGATGAATTCAGCTGAATAATATACAATTTACCCCCTTTTTAACATTTTCAGCTCTTTTCGCACAGAAACCAGAGATAACTATAGATCTGAGTCAGCTCATTTATCTTCTTTTGTCGACAACCCCGAAGAAGATGTGAGGAACTATTACAGTCGGCGTGCACGTAATTTACCTACAAATGACGTCAATGAACAAGCTACAATACAACAGTCGTACAATTCTGAAACTTCGCACGTCATAGGGACTGGGAGACCGATTTGTACTGTACTAGATCAGTATGTTAAGAAGAACAAAAGACTGGAAAGAAAAATGTTGAAAAGATAAAAGTATCTTAAGAAAGAATACATATGCTTAAGTTATGACTCGCTAATTATTTTATATTCTAATAATGAGACTAATAATGAAGATAATACCGCCAAGAAAAGATGAACTCTTGGATCTATTGACGACAAATAGAGTGAAATAGCGAAAAGAAAGTCAAGTGTGTATTTTAAGTGGATATAAGTAGATAATAAATAGGTACATTCTTATAATAAACTCTCACGTCGGTTTCAAGATATTCGCCATGTCTGAGATCCCTGGTCGCGGATTCAGGATAGTGACCGTCTAAATGTATCAAAGAGTAGAATATTGATGTAGACTGTTATTATTCTGAGATGTAGATAATTTCACTACAACGTGTCTACGATGTAAGACTTCAACCATTGTGAGACACTATAAGACACTTTGAGTGTTTTACGATGGGTGTGGTAGTCGATAGAAGTAATGAGCTCAAACATGGCGCGATAATCACGAGAGATCCTGTCATAGTTTTTTTACTAGGAGCGTGAATTTCAATGATACATAAATAAATTTATATATACAAACATCGAGCATACCCATTTACCACTAACCTTTGAATTACTTAGTTGTTGTCTTTCAACCTGCTTAATTTTGTACCTTTTTTTTCTAAGCTCCGCTTCTATAAAGCTCCTATATTCATAACACAAAATTCGTTTTAGTTCCCAGAAAATATAAAAAAAATGGAAGAAATTGAACGTAAATTGAAAAAACTAAAATTTAAGAAAAAAAAACCCCATTTTCACGATATGTCAATAATAATAATAATTTATTTTAATAAATCGTCATTGTGAATACTGTATTTAAAAAAATACCTTTTTAAAAAGTAGTTATATAATATATCTGAGAACACTATAAAACAAATTCGAAGTTAATCCAATAGGAGCGAAAAAGTACAAAGGGAGCGGCTGGCGGTGAGAGTTGTTTGATCGTACCACATTCGTGGGTGAAGCGTGCGTAAAGCCCGCTGCACACAGTGGATGTGTCATCCCGCACTTGACGTTTTCCTATAAATTAACTGCCCGCCTTTGCAATTGTACTTTTTTGTAAAGGTATCAATGAATATATACTTTACTCTTTGTTAATGAGTGTCTATGATCGAAGATCTACAATCAAGTGGCATACAATAATGACATAAACATAATTAAACAGTAAATTCATCAATGAAATAATCCATTAATTCAAAATGAATCGTATATGGAGATAGTGTATTTTATAATAGCCTTAATAATCCTCTTTTACATAGTTTACTTACTTATAGACTACTGGATTGTCTTAGTAGCCATTGCATTTATATATGAAGTTTACTGTCTGATTTTTTCAATGATTGTTTAATTTTTGGTGAGTGGTAAAGCTACTTAGCTTTTTGTTAATATTAAAAATCCTCAGAAAATTATAGACTTATATCTTTATGTGACGATCATCATTCATCTTTCTTAGTAAGCTTCTAGTTTCAGCCAGATAACAAACACCTTAACATACTATCTCTGATCTCTGATATCACTGATGAGGCTTACATTATAAAAAGATAATATAAGAAAATCGAAAACTTAGATTTTATTAGTGAGTGTGTAAACTTTTGCTTTTAAAACTGTCTATAATTTAAAACTTAATATTAACTTGAAAATCCGTAGCTTTAGATTAGATCCTGATAATGTGACTTCAAATAGCAAAGAGAATCTTGATAATGAATCTTGGTCATCCGAAAATTAATTTTAGGCGGAAAAACTCAGGCGAATAATGCTATTCGTACATTGCACGAAGGAGACATAGAAAACGATTTTTTTACATTTTTTGTAAAAAATAACTCAATTTTATTATAAGCCAAGTTTGCAAATTGTTCTATTCGCCTTCCGCGGCTCGAATTGTCTGATTTACGTTACTCGAACGTCATAAAACTCATTTTGTAATGTTAATATATGTAAATTTAGATATAAATGTATTTATATGATGGTACAAATTACCCATAATAGTAAAATTTGCTTTTACACTACGCGCAATACTCTGCTCCTTTTTTTGCCTCAAATCGTTGTACGAGAAAGATGTATTTTTTTATAATTTCGCATATTGTATTAAGGGCCTTCGTTTCTTCTCAATATTTAGTGTTAGTGCTAGTATATGAATAATTTATTAAATCAACTGTAGAAATGGATACTTTATTTTGAACAATAAAGTATAACTTCGATATGTGCATTTCATTGAAGAGACCACCAACCCGCTAACCGCTAAGGCTGATGCACGTTCACTATCGAGCAATCTTCCAGCGCTCCAAGGACTCTCGCTATAAGATTTTTGTTTACCATTTTTTTTCCTCAGATGTAATAACTCCTCCCCAAACTAAAGGTTCGTGCTAGTCGAGCTTAAGCTTTCATAACAGAGGTTTCCGATTTGATTCTCCATCGGGTTACTATACAAACTTTTCTATATTTTTTCAGTATCGAATACCCAGTCGCATCGTTTTTATTTACGATTGTAACGCTCCAAGTATTTTTGGTGCTTACGTAATCAAAGCGTATTTTCCAATATTTATTTACTGTACCAACGTGCTATGAAACTACAGACTGTAAAGATGTTTGCTAATAAAATATGCAACTGGCCTAGTTCTACTTACCTATTACCGACGGAACTGATGTTTAAAAAGAAGATAGAAGAATAGACTAATAGAAAGACTTTCACTGTTTAATATTAGTGATATACAATAAATTCTATGAGAATACCATCAAAGTTATTTTATTATTTTTTTATTAATTGATTACACAACTTATATGATGTACCTACCTATAGTTGTGAAGGGTAAGTAAAAAACCGTTACTTTATATGATAGCCTTTATAGATGTAGCTCGGTGGCGTTGTGGTTAAGCGCCGCGGCCCGCGATCGTTGTTGTTAAGCAACTGTCGCAAGGCAATTTTTTGGTCACCCATCCCGAGGCGGACGTCACAGGAAAAAAAATATTATCTCGAGCTACTCCGTGCTTCGGAAGGCATGTTAAGCCGTTGGTCCCGGCTGCATTTGCAGTCGTTAATACCCTCCAATCCGCATTGGGCTATAAGGAAGGCCTGAACCTCTGCAGTGGGGACGTAAAAGGGCTGATGATTATGATGATGATTCGATTTTAAGGGCAGGTGCAAATCTGACGATTCTGTCAGTAATTTTGACTCATTTTATGTATTGTTTGTAATGCATTTTCTGTCATATATACAGTGTTATATATAGATAGATCGTCATCTATATGTATTGAATGTTGTAGTGAAAAAAAAATGTTTATCATTTCGAATTAAAGGACCGACATAATCCGTATATTAACAGAAATAATATATGTTTTATTTTTCAAAACAGCCGGGTTCGATTCTCGAGCCTAAAACTATTTATAAAAATGTATGGGTGTAAGTTTTTCTTGATTAGTGTCAAAGTAGTGTTTAATCGATGACATGGTTCCTAAGAACTTTATATGTTAATTTATTTGATTAATTTTGCATTCACAAAGCTATACTGGAAAATATTATTAATGAAATATTAAAAATATGCTCACTAGTAGAGAAAAGTGACAAATGCTTGAAAAATTCGTCAGTTCTGTTAAGTCCTGGGTAGCTCAGAGGTTGGACCAGTCGCTCGGATTGCGAAAGGTCTTAGGTTCGAGTCCCACCACAGAGTACCTAGCCTGGTACCTGGTAAGCGCTTTTCTTTATCTTTTTTACTGCGCACTGCCAAGGAGTGGAGCTCCCTGCCGGCGTCTATATTCCCGAATGTATATAACCCAGATCTATTTAAGGCAAGAGTGAATAGGTTCCTTCTGGGCAAGCTCGTCCCACCGTAGATCTCATCTATGTCTTTAGGCTAGATTGAGGTCAAGAGTGAGCCCATTATATATAAATAACAAAAAAATAAACCTGGGTCTGGATTTTTAAGCATTTTTCATCGAGAACTTTATATGTCTTATAGTTATTGACTTTTCCATATTTACCGTTCCATATATTACATACGGCCGCCGATTGTACTGTTTATTGTTATTAATTGTTATGTCGATTTTTTATTTTTCATAATTCATTCATTCATTCATACTGTAACATCAATAAATAATATAAAGAATTAACAAACCTCAATATTACTGCTTATAATTAAAAAATCGTTAGATACCGATTACCTGTAACCTATTTCGATTTATAGCTCAACGTTTACATTTTTGAAGCGTGCGAATTTGTCTATGTCGAAACATACTCGCTAGTCAAGTACACTATAATTTATTGTACACCATTCACGCGTGTTTACACAAATGAACCAGACATCTGCGGCTACGCGCTTACCACAGACTCTAGCAAACAACTAAAATCTACTTTCAAATTTAAAAATAAAATGAGTGAATAACTTTTTAGAAAACCAAAATCGGATTTAAAAAAATAAAATACGCATTGAATAATATGGCGGTATTAAAAAAGTTTCTGTTTGTTTTTATGATTATGGTGGTAAATAAGTTTACGATTGGATATGTGCCGAAACAAGTAAGTAAATAAATAAATAAGAAAATTGAAGTTGTTTAAATTACATTTTTGAAAAAGAGTGATCACTAAATACTTAATTTAAAAGTTAAGTTTAATTTTTTTAATAAGTTTTATCATTAACTTTGATAAACTTTTTTGTGTGTTTATTCACCTAATACACCTAAAACAGAACATCATATATTTGTTTACGTTTAGAATGATATATTTATCTGAGTGGTTTTCTTTTTAATATAAATTAATTCTCTATAAATTTCATTACTATTGTGTTCTAATCTAATACACCTCTATTTTGGGATATATAGTCTAGTTTTCCTTTTATGTTATATTTGCGAAACTTGTATAAATAATAATGGTGTTATTAATGCCTAAATTGTGTTACTCATAACTCGTCATTAAATAAAAAAAATACAGTTTATGACGTCATTTGTAGCGCTTTCGTCGCTATATTGCGAAACTCGTCGTTCATATATTTGCGTCATTTTCTTTCGCATAATTGATAGAGAAATTTGTTTTCTCTTATGGTGTACTAATTAATACACTATTGTTTTATAAAATTTTGCTTTTGCGATAATAACACAATTTGTGATCGCTCTTGTCAGAAACAATACATTAATGGTTTTTGTAAGTAGTATGATGAAAGCATTGTTGAGTAAAAGTTAAGAAAAAGATAATTAATATTCTTAATGAAAATGGGATACCATCTCAGAGTCAGAATATGTTCCATAGCATTATGAATGTAAAATTAATAAAATATAGGATGATTTATAATACCAAAATTCTAGTTTCCCTGCATCTGTTACTGATATAAAGCAACTTTACAGGCTAGGTCGGCAAAAAAAATTAATTTATCCAATGCTTTCCGATTACCAATGTGGAGTCGTTAACTCTAAATTATATTCGAATTCTTCTTACGTGTTTGATCTCTGGAAAGGAGGACATAGATCTCTATATATTAGTAGATCTGATAATAACGATTTTATGTTTCAACAAATCCAAAGGTTATAATTACGAGCTGATTGAAATTAGACCATTGAATGAAATGTTCAAAAAATCCTATAGAAAATAACTTCCACCCCAAGTGATTCACGCGCTCCTGCGGGGAAATTCTGCTAAGTTTACATTATTATCCCATCTCAATAGAATTTCAAATAGAATTTGAGTAGCTCGGTGGCGTAATGGATTAGCGCCGCGGCCCGTGATCGTAGTCGTTAAGCAACTTTCGCAAGGGTCGGTCACGGGATGGGTGACCAAAAAATTATTATCTCGAGCTACTCCGTGCTTCGGAAGGCACGTTAAGCCGTTGGTCCCGGCTGCATTTGCAGTCGTTAATACCCTCCAATCCGCATTGGGCCAGCGTGGAGGGTCATGGCCCATCCTCCTTAACCATCCATAAGGCCTGAGCCCTTGCAGTGGGGACGTAAAATGGCTGATGATGAATAGAATTTCAACGACTTGTATTTAACCATTGCAGTATTTACCTAAAGTTCAATATTATTAGTGAAATGTATTCCTCACACATAATGGTGACATATATTTAGTAATATTGGACTTAGGTATATAGTAGACAGGTGTGGACGTCATCGCCTTGAGCGATCCAAGATTACAAGTTGAATCATTTTCTTTCATTGTGGATCGTTGGATCGCCAATCCAAAATGGATCGTTTAGTGCTAAGACGGCTTTGTAGTTGTATTTGTTTTACTAATAAATACCACGAGTATTATTATATGAGTAGCTATACCTTATATCATGTTATTTATTAAGGTACACCAAAAATATCAATCAGGAGAGCACCAACTGGAAGTTTCATTACAATATACATTACACAAACCGAAGACTGCTCGCAGTACTACTGCTGCCGACTGTCTTTCCTTTGTGGTTTAATTATAAATAATTGTTGTATGTAGGTATGTAATGTAATTAACTTCAATGATTCATTTTCGAATATGTTTACAGAAGGTAATATTTTTTTATTTACGTTATCATGTAACATCTGCTCATTTGTGATCATTGTTATAGTAATTTGTGTAGCAAACTGAGCGAAACGTTCACGCGAATAAAAATTATTTCAAATAGCTTTACTCAAAAAGATATGTAAATGCATACTGTCATACGAATAGTTTATCTTCTACTGTCTATTCTTCAATCAAACTAGTGATATATTATCGCAAAAAATGGTCTAGTGCAAAGCGGAATATTTTATGTCACCGCACAACAATACATAGTGTTTGATCTCAAAAAGTGTTAAACAAAATAATATCAGAAAAAGCATCAGCGCCCTGGATCTAGGTGGGAATAAAATTTTGGTATCATAAATTGCTGGGGCACGAGCACAGGGCACGAGCCTTGCCAATTGATCAAGAAGGTAATAACCAGAAGGAAAATTCTGTTGTCACGATCTACAGTAGAGAATGAACCCCAGTGTCATACTGCTCTTGATACATCGACTACTAACTAGTAGATGAGGAATATGTATCTACACCTGACTCTAGTCAACCATCACGCGTGAACGTGAATGGATCATGAGCTCTATTTTTGATTCACTCGTTTAAAATCTCCTTGCCGTATTCGACCTATATCACGCTCAACTTCTTAATAGTATGACGCCGTTTGAATCGTTCGTCTGCAGGGTGGCCAACATGTTTCGAAATATTGAATTTTGTTCTTCGTATTTTATTGAAAATATTTTCTTTCCATATTTGAATAAACAAAAATGTGTCGAATGCAAAAAACGGTCATAAATGTAATTTATTCATTCATTTCAACATCATTTATTTATTTAATATTTTGACATTCACTCGACGACGAGTGGTTCATACCAAGCGGTGCAATCCAATGAATTAGCAATGGAAATTTGTTATGTCGAACAAAAATCAGTAGGAAACGAGCGCTCGATGTGAGACGAATGATTCAAAAATAGAACTCACTCTAGAGTACTATCGGATTTGTGCTACCAACTGCAGGTGCAGATAGCATCTTCTTCTTCAGCCTTCTAAAATAATATGTAGAAAATACATTTCCAATGGCCGTTCTTATCAAAAGCTCTACACACCCATTATCCATGAAGCAACTTTCACTGCCCCACATATTCATATCTTGTCGGCCTTGCTGTATCTATCAAATAAGATCTATCTATATGTTCTTGAATATTATAATAAACCTTCATTTAGATAAGACGACTGATGTTTAAATAAATAGCACACTATGCTTTTAAACGTTATCTAAACTACAAGCGCACAAATATTACGTACTATAAATATTTTACATACTTTAGAAAATGCCATACGGTTTAGCGGTGTCGTAGAGGATAAGCGCCGCAACCCGCGATCAATGTTGTAGAGCAACTTTCGTAAGGGTCGGTCACGGCATGGGTGACCAAAAAATTATTATCTCGAGCTACTTCGTTCTTCGTCCCGGCTGCATTTGCAGTCGTTAATACCCTCCAATCCACATTGGGCCAGCATGGAGGGTCATGGCCCATGCTCTTTAATCATCCATAAGGAAGGCCTGAGCCCCTGCAGTGGGGACGTAAAAGGGCTGATGTTGATGATCATGATACGGTTTAGTACAAAATGAATAACTTTTATATCGGTCCTTTTTCAGAAACAGATTCGTCCTCTTATACTCGGCCAACTACATATATAATGAAATAAAATTTTCTTCATTCGAGTTGCGTGTTGTTTATCCGGGGAACTAATTCCAACCGATAAGTGTTCTCGTTGGCTATAAACACTTCATAGCTAATATTTATACTGTTTTTCATTTACGCGATGTTTGATAGAATGAAGGAATTTGCTGTCTGTGTGTATGTGGCGATATTACTGAATCATATTTTAATGAAGTCATTTTTCAATCTTGTCGCTCTGTATACAATAAAACAGGAAGAAAAAAGCAGCCCTTGCCGAGTTTCTTGCCGGTTCTTCTCGGTACAAGGTCTCCCGCCGTAGATTTCCGAACCGATGGCGTAGCTCTCGATTTTCACAAGTGCTTGTAACAGCCTAGACTGAATAAATAATTTTGATTTCTGATTGATTTTTTGATTTTGATTAGCCTTGAAATATGGATACTAAAAATCCTTTCTAAAATATTTTTTTATGTAAATAATAATACACAAAAATCAGCCCAGCATCAGTGATATTATATACTTACTGGACTCGTTATCCTAGCCTGAATTCAATAATGTAGTGGATATTAATGTTTCCATCCATATCATAGTACATATGAGTATAATTATATTTATCTGTGATTTAACATCCAACGTTTCAGCTACTTCTATCAGTATACTACGAGAGCAAATGTCCTGACAGCAAAAAATTCATCCTTAACCAACTAATGCCTGCGATGCGTCTACTGCCTAATAACATTATACTGCAGCTAGTACCTTTTGGAAAAGCGAAGGTAAGGATAATTTTAACTTAAAACTGAAATTTTTTTGAAGAAGAGGTATTTTAATTATGTGCTTTATAAATTTCCAATATTTTCGGTCAAATGTATAATTCCATAGCTTTAATTATTTAATAACTAAACTAGAGGAGTTTGAATAATTTAATAATTCTTGCTGTTGTTTAATATTTGTTCGATTAAAATCTGACACGCAAATGGTAGCTTCGATGCGGTGTTTTCCATCGTATCCTTTGGTTTCTTTCTTTCAGTTGTCACCTGAGTATTATAAAACTTACTGATTTAACTAAAATCATAATAAGTCACATTTTCGTTTTTTATTTTAGAGCATAGACCAGGGATACCGTGGATTTGAATGTCAACACGGTCCATCGGAATGCCTTGGTAACATGATACAGAGTTGCGCACTTAAACTCATGCAAGGAAAAACAGATTTGCAGAAAACTAAATACGTGGCTTGTGAAATGGAAACGTATGCTGCTGCAGACGGTAATCTTTCGGTAAGTCCAATGCTAGCGAATTTAATATTTCAATATTTATCAATGAAGCTTTCTGTAAATAAAAATACTGCTTCTTAATCAGCATATTCAACTACCAATCCGCACCTGGCCCGCTTGGTAGTTCATGGCCTCTTCTCACAATTCAATTAGATTCCTTCCATAGGGAAGCCCTATGCTCTAGTAGTCCATTAATATCTCCACTCCACCTTTGTACTTTTACTTCCCTATGGATATAGTGAATAGTCGGTACAAGCATAACCTAATAGGTGCGTCTAGAAAGTATTGATATTATATACCTTTAACAAGAAATCAACGGCTGAACACGCTTTCCAAAGTGCGAAGAATTTTCAAAGAATACAGTTTTGGTTACCTGGTTTGGTTAAGTTCCTTAGTATTGGTTTCCTCAACCTAGTCCCGTTGTTAAAATGGTTTATTAAAATGCAATTCACAACTTAATAAAATAGTAATAGCTCACAACTTAATAACAACATAGCAATATATAGTATACAACATGTATATTCTAGAGATCACGATAACTATAAAATCCACTCAAACAAAATAGCAAATACAATGTAGTAATGAGTAATAATCATTTTTATTCCAGTGCGTACAACAAGCGAACGTAGACCCTGATCTAGTGAACCAGTGTATTGAAACGGGACAAGGTACTGAGCTGCAGCTTGACGCCGAATTCCTGACTGGACTCATTAGTCCGAAGTTTATTCCCACCGTAACTATTGATGGAGTAAGTATTATATTATAATTATCTAATATTGTGAACAAATCATCTGATATCGAAAGCAAATAATTAGCAACTTACCACAAGAGACAATTCATAACTTATTAAATACTAGGTTTCCGCCAGCGGCTACCACCACAGTGCCACCTTCAGTTTGAATCACTCTATTTGTTGACAAAAAGGGGATAAAATCCGTCGTGTAGTGGTCATGTTAAAAGATCTCAACGGACAGACAGTGGAAAGTGACTTTGTTTTATTATATGTATTGAAGTTATAAAACCCATATGACGTTTGACGTTACAAATAGGATTGCCAGATAAAATAAAAATCTGTGTAAAATTTCATAAAACCGGGATTATTCGGGACAAAAATCGATACATTCACCAATTGCTTCGAAAAATATTAATGATATATCAAACAAAAATATTAGAATTACTTCTAGGTTGTTTTAGTCGTTACCGAATGAATTATTGGTTGATTTAATTATTTTATGAATTATTTAATCTAACGGACTTTTCGCTCCGAAAAGTGGGAACAGTCCAGTCCAATCCCGACCATCTGGCACAACTAGTTACAGATGACCTACTACCCGTTGACAGCAGTAGAATTTTTGTATATTTATTAAATGGTACTATATTATTACAGATCTTCAATCAGCAAATCCAGGATCATGCACAGATAGACTTAATAGGTACTCTGTGTTCCATCTTAAAAGAGACGAAGAAGTGCGCACAGCATTACAACAGCATGGCTCTGAGATACGTATTAGTGTAAAATTGAGGGGGAAATAAATTTTATATTACAATAATGTATAGGTACAAATGTCAAAAGATTTATTTATTTCCGTTTATAAATAAATAGTTTAATAACTAAAACTGGACAATTCCAATTTGTGTTTCATTTGCTAACCGAGGTGTACATACACCATCAGCGTACGTTGACGATTGCTATAAAACAACAGTGATCGAAGTGAGTTTACTCTACATGTATTGGTATAGCGGTGTCTCACTTATATCTACTTCGGCATCACATTTAAAAGTTTCATTTAAGCACTTATAGAGTTTTTTATATCTTTAATCAAGTCATACTTATCTGTAAATTTTAAACATCTTATTATAGAACAAGGACTAGTGTATATGTACTACCAGTTAGGTGGCCTAAAACAAATTGACAGTAACAGAAGAGAGAACGTCAAATTGGGACTTGTTGTCTTGTTTTGGTAGAATAATGGTTTAAACCTTTTACTAAAGTTAGTGCAGTGGATAAGTGGCGCAGACCGCGTTGGTTATCGTTAAGCAATTTTCGCAATGGTCGGTCACATGATGGGTGGGCAAAAATTATTTTCAAGTAGCTTTGGAAGGTGTGCTTCCTTAGGGAAGGTCTAAGCCCCTGCAGTGTGGACGTAAAAGGGCTGATGATGATGAAGATAAAACGTCATATTGAGACGTGCATTGGTAGGACAGTGGTTTAAACTGTTTACTAATCCCCGTTATATAATAAAATGGTCTAACGGTAAAGACTTGAAGTAAATTGCAATGGTTGGCGCCATCTTATTACTACATTGCTTTGCAAGGTATGATTTTGGCATTACTACTATAAGTATTTTTACTAATGAACTTTGTCAAAGTGAATCCAAAGATTAAATTTCAAAGGCAGTTGAATTAATTCACTTTGTCATTGTTCTATTATTACGTGATTGTAATTTGTAAATAATCTAAACTAGTATTAATTTCTAGTATCTCGGAGAGTTGCTGACAATCCAATCATGATAATGAGCTATGTTTGTGTATACGCTTGGAACACCTTCACTGCCGCAGTTTTCTGATCCAAACGAAACTATTCCAACCTGAAAATACCACATTAAATTTCCCATGATGCACTATCAAAAATGAGTAATACGTTTTCGAATCGCTAGAAATTATAAAATTTGTTTTCCAAATAATTTATAGTTCAAATTCTAGCTAGTAAAATCATTTATATTGAACTACCCAGAGGGGAAAGAATTTTGATAAATTTTGGAAGTTGCTTAAGCTAGGTAATTTTAATTTTTAATGAAACAGCGAGACACATTAGATCAGGCTTGCGAACGGTTTGAAAAATACCAATTAATAAACATTATTCACGAAAACTTTCGTTTGAAGAAATAACATTAACATTATTAACATGCTACTCTTGTTTGGCATTTATTACTCTCTTCACTTCTTTTCCTTTACTTCACTCCAATCATATGCGATCAAGCTGACTATAAAACGTGAGTCTCGGCCTTACCGTCTTATACATTCTTGCGCTTGCTTTTAGTATGTTTTACTCAATGTAGCTCTATAATATTTTCTCTGATATTTCGGTTACCTGAACGTATACATTATTCCTCATAAGCAGTAGTGGTGCACCCCCGAATCCTGAACAGGCATCCTTGCCTTCCTCGCCCCCCGCGCACAGCTGCCCCTCGTGCACTGGAACCGTCTCACCGAATATTCTTTCACAGTGCTCCAAAGAGACCAGAGGCACATCCAGCAATTGCTGTCGACTTACCTGAAAAGACACAGAACAACTAAATCACTTTTAAATGTTGGTTTATATTTACTTATTCTGTCTGGCACTGGCAATTAGCTAATATTCATCGATTAATTGATTAATATATTTTTTCAGTAAACTCATATCATCAAAACTTTTGAAATTTACGCTTAATAATATAAAATCTTTACTGAAGTTATCTCCGGCTCTACTTTAAGCTTTAATGGACGTTCTAAATTTGAATATTTGTTTCGGAAATGTTTCGCTTTAAACTCATAAAAATTTAATGGACGTTTGTGCAGCTAAGGGTATGTGTTGTGATTTTTAAATAACATTACCACAGATGTTTGACCAGAGAGCTTTCCCCATCCAACGAGTGAAGCACGCTCATTAATTACAATCTCAGGTTTATCGTTCAGGCAAATGGGCGCAGCAGTTACTGAAAACAAAGCCGAAAGTAACATATGATTTAATAAATGACCGTTCTTATACATAACTGTTAGTTATTAGGTGTGATAAATTATCATTAAATAGAAACGTTATAAGTAAAATAAATGGACCCTTTTCACAGTAGGATATTATTTGATGAAGACATTATAGTCTGATTTGTTTCTTTTTGTGTTTCCGAAATTATTTTTGGAAACAACATACAGATCTCACATTCTTATGGCTTCCTTGGAATGTATTGTCAAATATATCAAAAGATATGTAAAAATATTATATTCATTTTTAATAAAAAATGTTTTAAAAATATCTGACAGCTCGAAATGGGACTCGACCCCACAATCTTTTGCAATCCGGGCGACTGCTGTAACCATTGAGCTACCCTTGACCCAACAGGAACAAGATATATAAATTTTACAAGCACATGTTACTTTTCGTGCTACTAGTGATCATATTTTCATAAACTTTCGGCCAATCCACTCAAACATACATCACCCATCATGGGCTGTAAGATCTTTTAAGCATTCTGCATTAAAAAATATATCATTATAAGTATAGCATTGTGAATGCAAAATTAATCAAACATAAATCCTATTAATATTATAAATGTGAAAGTTTCTTTGTTTGGATTTTTGTCCGTCAATCACGCCGTAACTACTGAACGGATTTTGATGAAATTTGGTATACAGATAGGGTATTAGCTGACTTAGGTAATAGGATACTTTTTATCCCACTAAATTTTCCTAGGGTCCACGCAGGCGAAGCCGCTGGCGCAGCTAGTATATAATAAAGTTAAAAAGTTAATAATCAGTATGTCTCACGTAATGAAACTCAACTTTAGTTGGTAATTGAAACCACGCTCGTTAGCCCACGATCATCATCAACAATCAGTCAGTCTACTGTCAAGGACATGATAAAAGTCGGAAATCAAAAGTCAAAATTCTATCACGACTGCCATCTGCTTCCGCACTCATTGTAACCGGTGGTACTAACCCTAATTTCCTGCTCATTCAATTCATTCCTCCGAATTACTAATTAAATGTCAACTATTATCAAATTTAAAATGTACACCACTTCATTTTGGAATATAATTTTACTTACTTAGTACTAACACATTTTTTTAATTATTTAAAGTTTGTTAAAAACTAAAAAGAGCTTAAAATTAAGGATATTTTACGCACTTGAGATAGAGACTGACTTAATGTCTCAAAATCTGTACAGCTATTCATTTTGCTCAACAATTTTATAAAACATTGAGCTATATATAATTCTTTTTGTTACTGGTTTTTACTAGTTTAGCAATGGAGGTAGGCCCTAACACTGCCTGTAATGCACAGATAATGTTTACGGATATAATTTATGTAAGCAAAATTGAACGTTACAAATGTTTCCGACATTTCATTTGTGGCTCGTTATCTACGATAACTTGAGTAGTTCTGTGCACCTCCTTTTTCAATATTTAACTTAAAATACTTGTTGGAAACTATATAATTAAATCTACCATATTAGAAGCCAGTCAATGTTAGTATTAAGTACCTGTCGCGAATGACGCGAGACCTGATATATATTTAAGGCTAAGTGACAGACAGAAAAAAGGACAGAGAAAAATTAAGGTAAGAGAGAGTAGTAAGTTGTGGTGTGTAAGTGTGGTTATGACCACACACATGTGGTTAAGTAAATAGAAATAAGGTTACATAGAGTAAAAGAAAAGACAAAGAGATATCTAGAGGTAGAGGTGGTTGTGATGGGAGAGGAGGAGATCTGGTGGAGCATGGGCTCCCGAGATTTAAGACAAGTCTGCCGGTACCTCTTGGTTAGTATCAGAGGCGGGAAACTATGGGAAAGTACGGTCATGTCATGGTTATGTAGAAGTGCTCAGTATGCTAATATCTATTAGGTACAATTTTAAACACTTGATTATATCATATAAATATTTGAAATTATAATACATAGATACGGTACATAGTTTAAGTAAGTCAGTACTAATTTAAAGTAATAGCACTGGTCTTAATAACGGTACATACATAGTATAGATACAGAAATAAATATCTAATCTACTCCGTTACACGCAATTATAAATAACATAATATAATATTACCATATAAATAAATATAAACACTATACTACATTTTATATACATATAATACAATCTTGTAAGTTCACACGCATTTGGATATCGCCGTGGCTATCAGATAAGGAGTCACGACAGTACCTGAATACTTGATTTCATCCTTCAACATAATCAGCGCTATATCGTGCCGGAAGATCTTCTGTTCGTACCCTGGATGGACGATCACCGTCTCCACTTTGATAGCTTGAGTCGGAGGTGCACAGAAGAAATCGTTGCAATCGGGACTTTTGCCAATGTCCCATTCTCCAACTACCACTGTTGATCTGGATAAATTATGAACTTTAGAATTGACACACAAGTACACAATCAGATAGGTCCACGCTATTTCGAAATAATATGGCCGTGGAAAATCGTTTCCTTCATAATATAATTTTTCTGAAGTTAATAGAATTATAATATCAATTTAAAATATTTTTCTAATAGTTTTATCAGCTTTCACAGTTCTGATAGAAATAGGTCCTGGAATTATAATTTTTGTAATAATTATAACTGTATGCAGGCGATGTATTTGTAATATTAAGAAACCGTCTTCATAGTTTTTAGTAATTACAGTAAATAAACAAAAATGTGGTAAATCAATAGATTCAATAATTAATAAATTACACGCGCTTTATTCCGTTGAAAGGTTTTCTTATAAACGTTTAATTACTGCTTCAATAATACCTTAATTAATAGATTATGTACATATTTATGAAGTAGATACTCACAATTTATATCCTTCGGGCTTAGCTAAAGCACAGTGCGCCGCCGTTAGTACAATTCTCTTAGATATTATAGAACCACTACATGCAAATCTCACATTGCCTGAATCTTTATCTGAAATTAAAAATAATTAGATGAATTGGATTGTATCAGGGATTTGGGGGTTTTCTTCGACAGTAGCTTAAAGTTTGATAGACATATTGATACAATTGTTTCGAAGGCCTCGAAGTCTCTTGGTTTTGTTTTAAGAGAATGTAAAAATTTCAAGAAACCACATGTAAAAATAGCAATGTATAGCTCACTTGTAAGAAATCACTTGGAATATTGTAGCGTGGTTTGGTCACCATCATATAACGTTCACATTAAAAGAATTGAGAAATTGCAAAAACGCTTTATGTATCATTTAGCGTATAGTTGCAATATGGCCAGGAGACTCAAGTCATATAGAGAGCGCTTAGATTATTTTAATTTTATCTCACTGGATAAGCGTAGACAAATGTTGGACTTGATATTTTTGAAAAACTTGCTTTGTGGTATCGTTGATTGTCCAAACTTATTATGTAAGGTAAATTTTGCTGCCCCGATCAGGCCACAGAGATCAAATAATGTCAAATTGTTTTCTTTTTCCAAGTATCACACTAATCTTAGACTTCACAGCCCGCTGTCTCGGATGTACTCTGCTTATGGAATCTACCAGGATGAATTGGATTTAGTGATTTCTTCTGTTCGGGCCATAAAGAAACTTGTTTGTAATTTTTAATTGTTAATCAATTTATATGTATCTTGCGCCCTGGATCCAATGTGGAATGATGTAGATTAATTGATGATTGTTAGTTTATTATTATATATATATTAATTGGTTATTGATAATTTATAATTAATGATAATATTTTTTTTTTATGTTACTATCAATTTAATGCATGCAGTGTTCTCTTGTAAGTGGTGGGGCAATAGGAATGTATTTTCTTTTGTGCATTTCTCTTTATATTGTCATGTAACATTGTGCTCACTGTTAGAGAACCAAAATAAATAAATAAATAAATAATAAAGACAACAATATAATAACTTGTTTTGCCTTATTTTACAATAATAGAAACCACGTTATTTTTATTTCCACTAATTTTGATGAATGACATTAATTCGAAATCAATATATGTACTTGACATCGTTAGGTTAGACAAGTTAGGTTAGGGCTAAAAATGATCAACCAGGGCAATATAGGAAATTTATTTTTCGACATTAACCGATTATTTATACTTACGTGTGAACCCAACTCTAGCAACCCAGGGGTGTGCTCCTAATCCACTATAGTTAGAACTTCGCACCATACTCCGTCCGCATTGAGGGCCATTTTGAGCATCGCAATCACAAGATGGACAGCAAATGTAATCCTCGTTATTTACATGACCGCATGATAACTCATTTAAACGATGGAAATATCTGGAATATCATCAGCTGATATTTTAAAACATCAGTATTGTAAAAAGAAGAGAAACCATATGGTGCTGTGGTTAAACAACTTTCGCAAGGACGAGTGGTTTCAGGTCCGTCTTTACTCATGGCTCAGAGGATGCAATGCATCCGGACGCCGTGTGTTCGGGAGCACCGCGCCGATGATGGTCTAATCTTGTAGTACCTACTCATCGATGACTTCGGTAATGCACCCAAAAGTTGTAATTTTATTTCAATAATTTTTATATTTTTCAACCGCTGACGACGTCTTTTTCAAAACCTTTTTCCCTATAAAACAGGCAGAGCACTGCTTGCACCCGGACACCTGTTGTGCTTAAGACGGGCCTGGGTGGTTAACCTAAACTTTTTTTACTCGAGCTCCTCATTCATTTGGGAGGCACATCAAACCATTAGTTCCGACTGTATCTGCAGTAGTTAACACCCACCAATCACTCTGGACCAGGATGGTGGGTCGTGGCTCTTCCTATTGGATTCTGATACGATTCCATTAAAAGAAGAGGCTAGTGTCTCAGCGGTAGGGAGATTAATATGATGATGATTGTTATAAAAAGTTAATGAAAGCGCTATTTAATTAATTTTGTAGTCCTTGTATTGTGTAATCCAAAAATAATTATTACTTATATTTCTGTCTTACCTGTCTGAGGTGAAACATGAAAAATCTAACAAGTCTTGTAACATAGGGCATGTACTTATTGGCACACATGTACTATTGGCTGGACAGGGACCCTGAAAAGTAATGATATTTTTTATCTAACATAATTTGTATAGGGATTAGGACTAGGTAAGAAAAAGAAATTCTATCTAGTCCGCCAGATAGATAATTGAAAAATATTAGATAGGCATTTTCTTGCTTCATATTAAACAAGAAACGGCTTAAATAATAAGCATTAAAGTTGAGGAGTGGGGTTTTGTAGTAAATGTACAAAAGGGTAACGTCATGCGACATTTCAACAAAAAATAAAAAATACATGTTTAATATTATTCAATAGTCAATTTGACGAACTAACAAACAATTAGTTATTATCCCTATTCTACTAATAAGGATATTTTCTTACAGACGTACATATAATTCTTTGCTTATTGAAACTATTAAAAACAAAGGAAGGTTCATGAGATAGAACCTGGTGAAAGACGGACGGACAGCGGCGTTTTAGTAATAGGGTCCTTTACCCTTTGAGAGCAGAACTCTAAAAAGAAAAACTGTCTACAATTCGCGGACAAATCGGTGAACGAGCATATTGTGTTCGCCACTGAAGTTGATGTGTAGATAGAGGAACTTCACTTTCTTTTTCAGTGTGATTTCCATATTTTAATGAATTATGTTTTAAAAGAGAAGATATTCAAAGATGTAATTTAAGTAGTTTGATGCAAAATTAACTATTCATTATTACAACTTGTAACCAAAATAACGCAAATTCTTGAAAAATGCATTTTTTAATCAAAAATCGAAAATTGTTACACATTGTTTATGTACGGACACAGTTATACTTATTGCTGGGAAACAGTGTGGGCGTCTTACAGATCCACACATTACGTCGAAATTACGATTGAGCAAGGTTAAACCTATACAACTTCGATTGTACCTACATCAATATATATATATATACCACAATGATATAATACTCTCGATACGAAATATTTATTAATTAGATTCGGTTTAGTGCTTTTTAAGTTTAGTCAATAATTATGATTCTTATTCGTTATGAGTATCGGCTAGTATTACCTTTACATTATCTGCGTCCTCGTCATTACTTCTTACTTCGTCATAACCTAGACTGAGTGACATACCTGAAAAATGTTGTTATTATATATGTACATAATAAAAAAATAAATATTATTTTATTAATTATACGATATTTATTAAGTATTTAATTCAATTGTTAAAGCAAAACATATGTATAAGCAAATATATTTTTTTAGGGTTTTGTCACGCAGTTACCTGCCCCCTTACTCTCGAATGCAACCTCCGTACTCTGGTGGTAATGCTGGTGTACCCAATCAAGAGTGCGGAGCGGCACAATTGCAAGATTAAGGGGCAAATAAATTGTATCTGATGGACTGACAGACAATCTAACAGATAACCAAGCGATCCAATAAGGGTCCCTATTATTTTAAAGTACGGAAACATAAAAAATAAATTTTAGAAATAACAAAATCATCAAAAGATCAGATTTCTTTTGCCTTCATATTTATGTCTCTGAAGGTGACGTTATTGATACATTAAAAACTAATTTAAAAATTACTCAAGGATCTCTCTTGATATTTGACTATACTTAATATAATGACATGATATTTTTTTTCGCGATGGCGTTTAGATAAACTATAACGACCTTGGCACAGACAGGACATAAGCAATAAGTCCCATAATCAAGGCTGCGGGCAAATTATGTCGCGCAATTATTGGAACGTGATGCACCTATCATTGTTCAGTAACACGTAAGTTGTGTCATTATAATTGCGGATTTAAATAACGTATTTTACTGCAATACTTAAATGTTTAATTCCGTAAAAATAAATGTGATTGTTTTAATCCTTGATTTGTGTAAAGAAAGCAAACCTTTTTATTAAAAAAATCTAAAAATTTAAAAATCTAAATCTGTTCTGCATTGCGATTCTGTAAAATCCGAACCCCAATTCGAATACACTTAGGTATCCGAATTTACTTCAAAAAGCAGCATCCCTTCAATCTTGAATTGGTCATAACGTTTCGTGGCGTAAGTGAAGTGAGTTTCAAAATGATATAGGAATAGGTATCTTGTATCAATTTTGTTTTGTATTTTTATACAAAAAAATGAAATCAATAGAATTTCTTCACTAAATGACCTAACTTCGGACACATAAGTGAATTTGAAGTCTAGTTTGGATTTTTTACATAATCGCATGGTAGATGATAAAATTGGTGGAGACATTAGGAGAGGGCAATAGGGATGATGACTGGGTAAAAAAAATGCTATTCTATTTAGTCCGTCAGTCAGATAATAGAAAAATATTAGATATGTATTTTTTTTTACTTCAATTTCACAAGAAATAGCTGAGATAATAGGCATTAAAGGAGTGGGGCCTCGCTACGTCACAGTTTAATAGAAAACGTACCCTAACATGACGTCATGCGAAATTTCAACTCCGTGTAACGCCGTAATTTTTTGACTACGAAAAAAATAAATAAATACGTGTTTAATATTTTTTAACACTCTACCTGACGGACAAACAAACAAAAATTAGTCATCATCCCTATTGCGCAATGGTCGGCGCGTTCGGTCTGCGATGCGGAAATAAAGCAATTTTCTCCTGGGTCAGCCTAGAGTTTTTCCGTGCTTTCGAAGGCATATTAAGTCATTGGTCCCTACTGTATCTCTAATCGTTAAAATTCACAACTCCGTTGGTACCGCGTAGTATTTCATGGTCCCTTATTCGATTCGAATTTTGCCTTAAAAATAACTTTGGATTTGTGTTATTTGGTTGATGTACGTCGTCGACATGCATCATGTTTTGCTTTTTGTAAGAAAATTAGCGTCGAACGTACAACGCTATCGCTTCCTTTGTGTTGTTTAATAGACCTCAGCATACAGACAGCTGGAAGCGACTTCGTTTCATACTATATATAAAATTTTAGAATATTGGCAATTTAAAATATTATTATTATACCTAATGCTACCGATTTCAATCTAGAACATTTTGACTTTTCCAAAAAGTAACACACTAGGCACTATGGTTTACATTATTATTTATAATCATTATTTTGGCATAAAGGCCTATGCCCTGTGCATGGAAATTAATTGAATTAGGTAGATAGGGAGGGAGTTAGTAAGGGGCACACAGGCCCAGTGCGGAAATGCGGGTGTTAACGACTGCAAATGCAGCATGAACCAACGGCTAAACTTGCCCTTCGAAAGAAGGAGGAACTCGAAGATGATCAATTTTTGGTCACTCATCCTATTACCGGCCCTCACGAAAATTGCTCAAGCTTCGCATCGCAGACCGAATGCAACCACTGCCCCATCGAGTTCCATCACTACACTGAATATATTTTTTTATAAAATTACTCGTTTTTAATTTTAAACCATATTATTAAGTGTCATCTTCCTTAAAGTGCAAAAATAGATCAGAAATTATCAAACTAGTCGATCGAATAAATTGATTCTTTACAATTTGATGGCGAAACTTCAATAACAGAAAAAAGGTTCACTTACTCCCGAACTGTGCGTTTACAATCCATTTCGAACACAATAGGATCACTAACACTCGCACGTGAGTCATATTTGCAACTTTAAAGCGTCCACATAAAGTATAATTTACATAGACATTTTGCGGTGACAACAAAAAGCTCGGCGAAGGTTTTAATTTAAAAAAGTTAGATTGCCGGCTTGATGTTGCGTCTGCGCCGGTCAACAACAAAAATGATACGGTACATGGAGCGCGTTTCGATTGCTGTATCACAGGGGTGTGCAACATTTTCTTTTTCAATATTTAGTTATCAGCAAATACATTTTTTCCTACAACAAAATAATAAACCTTCCATCAAACATAACAAATTTGTATTTTGGAGAAATAAATGTATTTGTTTACCAATTATGTAACCAATGTCATTTTCTATCCTATCGCAATGATGCTGATTTTTTCAAAATACCTTATCTGTAGAAGTTATTATTATTATTATTTATCTTTATTCAAATAGACTTCTCAAAAGTACTTTTGAATCGTCCAACATTTATTCCCTACCGCTCGTTCAGGACGTCTTTTGGCTGATAAGAAGAATCACCTATCCAGTTGCTGGATCATCTCAAGTCCAAGCATTCTTATCTGTTATATAATCGGATACCTTATAGTAAGCGTTGTTAATAAGTATTATTTTAATAGTATATTTAAACTGCATGATATCTAATTGTTGTATTTTGCTTGGGACCTTATTGTAGAAGCGCACACAAAGACCCCTGAATGAGTTATTAACTTTTTGTAGTCTAGTGACAGGCACCGTTAATTTATTTTTATTTCTTGTATTAATATTGTGTACATCACTTTTTATAGAAAACAAACCAGTATTTTTACGAACGTACATTAAGTTGTCATATATGTATTGAGAAGCAATAGTCATTATGCCTATTTCCTTAAATTTCTCCCTCAAAGAGTCCCTAATCCTAAGATTATAAATTGATCTAATTGCTCTTTTCTGAAGTACAAAAATCGTTTGTATGTCGGCAACATTTCCCCACAATAGGATTCAGTACGACATCACACTATGAAAGTAACTGAAGTATACTAATCTGGCAGTGTCTATGTCAATTAACCTACGTATCTTCATTACGGCATATGCTGCAGAGCTAAGTCTACTCGACAATTTATCAATATGTGTGCCCCACTGTAGTTTAGAATCTAACGTTATTCCCAAAAATACTGTGGTATCCACAAGGCCCATGTTCTTATCTTTTATATTAACATTTATATCTACTTTTTTAACATTAGGTAGTACAAATTTTAGGCATTTTTCCTTCATTAAAGAGAAGATTATTTACATTAAACCAATGTACTACTTTAGCGATAGAATTGTTCACATCGTTATTTAGGGGTAGCCCTCTTTTAATTTTAAACAAAAGTGAAATGTCATCCGCAAACAAAACTATTTCATGAAAATTTAAAATAAGGTTTTTAATTGGATAACTGAGTTAATACAATATTCCGAT